CATGATATTTACATGCTAATAAACATGATAAAGGCCATCGTTTGCTCATTTTTGTGTTAAACCACTAGCCTTAAGCCTACCCCTTATGTTGTTATTATCCCTTTTGCACACCACTTTGAGCCTTAGCCTATTTCCTTTGTCACCCACATCATGAACCAATCCAAACAAGACTCACCCGACGAAGCACCAATGGAGTGATCCCAATATCCCTTTATACTTGAAAGTAGAATTCGTATGTTCGGGAAGAAAAAAAATGAAAGGAAAAAAAAGAAAACAGAAAATTCAAAAAAAGAAAAAAAAATATATATATGTATATATAAGTATATATATATATATATATAAGTATATATATATGAAGAGCAAAATTACGTCGTCAATAATAAAAAATAAAAATAGACGACGAAAATGACAATACGGTTGAATATAAGCGTTTCATCTCTATTCCCTATCGTCCAAAAATGAATGAGCTTCAAAGATAAATGCAAAAGTCCTTTGAGAAAATAAAAATAAAGTGTAGTTGAGTAGCCATATTCTCCATTGGTGTTAGGTCTTAGTCACTTTCCCTAAATATTTCCCTACCGTACCCCAAACCTTGTTTTCGTTACACCTTTTAAGACCTTTTGATTTATAAGCATGTATTTTATCCAAGTAGTGGAGAGTGAGAGACTTTTCAAGTATATGGTAGGTACATGCTAGACATTGACGATTTGAGCGATACACTTTAACCCAAGGAGTGAACCGAGTGTTGCTTCGTTAATCCCATTCGTGAGAGTTCTCGAGATTAGCTTGTGTCTACTTGATTGCGTGTGCATCCTCTTTTCAATGCTTTGTTGCAAATCTCAAACTCATGATGTGCTATATGTGTTAACATTCTCGTCAGATTCGATTTTTATAACTACGTGTTAACTAAAGTCATTGTCGGGACAGACAATGATCTAAGTGCGGGGGGATTTGATAAGTCCAAATTTATACAAATTTATGCTTAAAAGGGGTCAATTTAATTTAACTTCTAGAGACTATTTGAGTTGAAAATGTGTTGATTTTGTGTTATTTTTGTGGCCCAAACAGCAGCCCAAGTATGCTGCCCACAACTGCAGCCCATGGAAAAAATAAAAAAGAAGAAGACAGCCCAAACAGCAGCAGCCCAAGGCTGCTGCCCAAATTAGAAACCGAGAGAAACGTGCAGTGAGAGAAGTCGGGAGCAGAGAGACGTGAGCAGCAGCAACGTGGGCGTCGATCGAGGTAGAGACGGGAGATCGTGGGCAGCGACAAGAGATGGAGGTGTGTTTAAAGGCTGTCCGATTGGGAGAGAAGGGAGGTTCGATTGGATTGAAAACAAAAAAAGAAGAGGGCTGTCAATTTTCTGGCTCGGTTGGACAGAACCGGTCGAAGGCAGAGGAATCTATCGAAGGGGGCTGTCGCGAGAGAAATCGAGAGGGCTGTCATCAAGAAGGAGGCAGCAGCAAGCAGCGGATCGAGCGGTAGCAACAAGTTGTTCTATTGGACAGCAATAGAAAAAGAGGACAGCAGGTAACGATCRAGAGGAGAAGTAGCAGAATCAAGAGGGAGGAATCAAAATGTTGTAAGCAAACTGAAATCCATTTCCAGATTTTAGAGATGAATTTAGATTTCTCAACTTAGGGTTCTTCATACTCTACAATTCTCTACCATCCGTAAGTTTAATTTCTGTTTCGGATTAAAATTATGGGTTGCTAATTTTCTGATTCTAGTGATGAGATTATAATTAGTTTGCATTGAATTTTGTTGAGACTTGTTTAACATTGAGCCTTAATTGAATTTTATTTACGCAAATTCTCGTTCTGAATCGTTCTTTCATTTTTAGGATTTTGGTTTTGAGAAGGATCCCTTGAATCCTTTAGCCTAAATTTGAATTGCTAGTCGTGATTAGGAACTTGTAATTGTTCTTAATTTYCAMTTGGTAGCAAATAGTGCATCAATAGAAAATCAAGTTCTTTGGTTTGCATTATARGACTGTGTAATCTAACTTAAATGTTCGGGCTTCCGTTCATTAGTTAGGATTGGTGCTTGTCTAATACGTAAGGCGATTGGTAGGTTGAATTTTACGTCCRTGACTAGAATCAACTCAATCAATTAGGAACTAATCTATCGAGCTTCTCATGTTAGTTTAATTATAAGGACAAGCGGAGTGTTTGGCACGTGTTGACACTTACGGCCGGTCTAAAATCTATTAAGAAAATGTTTTTATACAAGTCAATGATACATGATTTGATAAAGAACTAGTTACACTCATCACTAGAATTTATTCATTATTGTTTAAGTTCTCAATTTATTTTGCATTTTTAGGCTATGTATAAATCTTCCAACCCCCCCCTTTTATATATTGTTTTAATGTCAATGAATTTGCACGCGGTTACGTCTTGGACTTACGGTTAACACCGAGTCCCTGAGGAGACGACCCTACTTATCACTATCACAAGTTGTGTTTTAGAGATAATAGGCTTAATTTCATAAATTTTATTATTTGCCGGACTCGACACCCGTCATAAGGGTAATGAAATCAGCCCACTCCCAAGAGGGCTGATGAAAAGAGAGATGTTGTATCTCCGACTAACCAACGTGGCCCCATTATGAAATGGGTACCTAAAAACCCTTAACTTGTCTTGCAGGACCAGCATGTGCAACCATGGTATATGAATTCAGGTTGCTCCAGGCACATCACTGGTGATAAAATTCAGTTGTCCTCATTCATCGACAAACTTTTTGGCTCTGTCACTTTTGGAGACAACAGTAAGGGTACCATTAAGGGATACGACACACTCATAAAAGGCAACATCTCCATCAGCAAAGTGGCTTATGTTGAAGGTCTGAAGCATAACTTACTAAGCATAAGCCATTTCTGCGACAAGGGTCTTGAAGTCAGATTTCGCAAGGGTTTCTGCATCATCGAAACACAGCCGGACCAAACCATCATAAAGGCAAAGAGAGAGAAAGGAATCTCTATCTTCTGGATTTTCAATCCTCTGTGGGACAAGACACCCTCTGCCTTGTATCCATAAGAGTGATGAAAATTGGCTATGGCATCAGAAGTTCTCACATCTGAACTTTGACGTTCTAAGGAAGCTAGCCAAACAGAAGCTGGTAAAGGGGATTCCAGATCTTAATTTCGAAAAAGACCATCTATGCGCAGCCTGTGAGATGGGAAAGCTGAAACGGGTCTCTCATAAAACAAAGTCAGAAACCTCCTACACCAAGCCCTTGGACATGATCCACATAGATCTCTGTGGGCCCATCTCTACACAAAGCCTCTCTGGAAAGAAGTACATCTTGGTACTAGTTGATGAATACTCCATATACACTTGGGTTGAGTTTGTAAAGAAGAAATCAGACGTTCCTGAACTCCTCATCGGGGTGATGAAAAGACTCCAAGTCCTTCTACAGCGCAAACTCATCAAAGTTAGAAATGACAATTGAATTGAATTCAGAAATGCCAGAATCGATGAATATCTCATCAGTGAAGGCATTTCCCAAAACTTTTCAGCTGCAAGAACTCCTCAACAAAATGGAGTAGTGGAGCGAAGGAACAGAAACTTAGTGGAAGAAGCAAGAACCATGCTTGCTTCACCCAGAACTGGTCAATCATCAACAAGAGGCATTAGAAGACTCCCTATGAGCTCATCAATCAAATAAGACCTAATGTCAAATATTTTCACGTCTTTGGGTGCAAATGCTTTTTACTCAATGATAGGAAATATCTTGGCAAGTTCGACAAGAAAGTTGATGAAGGGATCTTTCTAGGCTATTCTCAAACCACCAAGGCCTACAGAGTTTTCATCAAAAGGACAAAGATCGTCATCGAAAGCATCAACGTGTCCTTTGATGATTCTTCACCCATGACTTTTGGACACAACAGCTCAGGACTCGGACTTCAACAGAGAGCCTCTGATTCATCACTTGGCAAACCAAATGAATCAGAGTTAGCACCAATTGCAAAACCCTTTTCCAGAGCCGATGAAGAACATGAAGTCTCCAATACTTAAGGTACAACTCTTTCTGAAACTCATGTTGCTTCACCATCTACTTCTTCTGTGTCTTCAGAACTAGAACCAGAACAAGAGCATCACTCTGGAGATGATCTCTTCGAGGGGGAGAAAGCAGTTCCATCGGTTGACGAAGAACTACATCTTGTTGCTCCAGAACCTTAATCATGCACCAA